CCTCGCACACCAGGCCTCAGCACACTCCTCCACAGCATCACCTCCCACACCAGGCCTCCAGCACACTCCTCCACAGCGTCACCTCCCACACCAGGACTCAGCACACCCCACAGGCCCACCCTCACCCAGGCCTGAGCTGATCCCCCGCACAGGCCCACCCTCACCACAGGCCTCAGCTCCCCAACCCTCACCCAGGCCTGATCCCCCCCCACAGGCCCACCCTCACCCAGGCCTGATCCCCCCCACAGGCCCACCCTCACCCAGGCCTGATCCCCCCCACAGGCCCACCCTCACCCAGGCCTGGTCCCCCCCACAGGCCCACCCTCACCACAGGCCTGATCCCCCCCCACAGGCCCACCCTCACCCAGGCCTGATCCCCTCACAGGCCCACCCTCACCCAGGCCTGATCCCCTCACAGGCCCACCCTCACCCACTAACACTCAATGACTAACATCTTCCTCAAACCTAATCACAGGGGCAGATGCCAGAGCTTTCATGAGGAGTTGTCAACTTTCCTCAGATGAGACTATCCTAGGTACTCTGCAAACACTAAGCATGCCCAGTGTAGTGAATCCAAAAAGCCAGTACCTGGAGAGGGAGGAGGTTTTCCACGTAATGGCACTTTCTCATCCTACGGAAGAAAAGGCAGAGTATGAGAAAGTGTGAGCATCTCCCACAGGCACTGAGTGAGGCCTGTGGGTGGAGGGTGAAGCTTCCTCTTCCCTTGGCTCCCGAGGGTCTCTCTTTAGCCCCCATTGTTTTCTTACAACCGAAGAGCATACTCAGGGGCCGCCCCTCCTGGTGGGCTCTCGCTGTCTTTCTGTCTTTGCCTAGGTGCTCAGTGACTCTATCTTCACTGAAGGTCCATACATGCTTCACTTTGTATATGACGCACGTGACATACTGTGAGTGCCGGACCCTAAAGAGGACCCACTGACTCTAAAGTGGGGCTCTAACTGATGAGAAAAAAAAACACCACGCACACCTCTCACTCTGGAAACTTATTAGTAGGAGCAGGCTGGGAGCTGCCATTGGCTTTCCCACTATGTATAGATATAGTGCTGAGACTTCAGTTCCTGCTGAAAATGAGAGTGTAACTCTTCCGAGAATCATAGAGTAAGCTTTTGTTTTGTTTTCTGAGACAGGATCTGTGTTGTAGCCTGTGACCCATGAACTCATGACCCTCCTGCTGGGATGAATCCCAGCTGCTGGGGTTACAGCTAGGACCCACCACATCTGGTGAAAACTGTTTAACTTCGACATTCCTAAATCTAGAGACTTGAGCATGGACTTATTTCTACGTTTCCAACTTGGTTATTAAACTGGCCACCATTTGAGGAATCACGGAAGCGACTCCTTGCTTCTCCTAACTTGTCTCCATGACTGAACTTGGGAAGAGGGGGAGTCCCTCCTGTTTTAAGAGTATCAGGTGAGGGCCAGGTGTCAGGTCCAAAGGAAGGTCACCTCCCCTCGACCAGGAGCCAGAAGGCACAAATGGTTATCTATGGTGCCTATTAGTATACCAAAGCACATGCCTGCAGCAGGCTCCCTTAGTACCACAAGTACCTAGCTCTTCTCACCTCTTCCTACCTTAAACTTCCTCCCGCTCAGGGGCTTCCCTCCCCACAACTACTCAACTCTCCTTATAACCCCGCTATTTCAGCCGTGCCCGGTCTTGGTCTCACACTCAGTCTCTCACTCTCTTGGTCCTCTCTGTCTTCATCTCTCACTCTCCCCACGTCTCTCCCCCTCTCTCCTCTCATGGCCAAGTCCAGTCTGCTGGTCACGTCTAGTCTACTACTTACTCTCTCTGCTCTGGTCTCTACCAGATGCCTCTGGCTGTTCTCTCCCTCCTAGCTACAATAAAAACCTTCCCCTTAACCACACCATGAAGCAGTCATGTTTATACAATAGGGATGTAGCTAACCCATAATGCACTTGCCTAGCAAGCACAGGGTACCTAGTACCTCAAAATATTAGCGTGCACAAGTGTGTGCATGCGCGTGCATACGTGTGTATGTGTACATGTGCGTGTGTGTGTGTGTGAATGTGATGTTAAAATGGAGCCCCCACAGATACTAATAGGCACCCTACAGAGACACTGTCTACTCAAGTCCCTAGCAGCATCCTGGGGTAAGGATTTCACCTGGGAAGTGAGTTTACGTCCAAGTGGGTATGACCACATACCTGCTACCCACCCCCTTCCCTGCCTCCAGCCTGGGAATGAGAGAGCCTGGCTGCAGGCTTGTGTTTCAGCCCCTCCCCCATCCTTATACTGATATAAAAAGGGGACCCCACTTTTGCTATGTGGGCTTTGATTCCTCACTTTGGAAATGCTGGCATGCTGTCTGTCTCTTGTACTTAGGTCTGAACCCTCCTTGGAGCTCTGATGTCCCTGTCTGTCTGTCGGTCTGTGCATGGCAATAACAATTCTAATAAACTCCCCAGTAGTCCATCTCAGTGTCCCTCTTGAGTCACCCCCCTCTAAACCTCACCACAGAGGGGGTGAATCAATGAATCATGCGGCAGGAAAGAGCTCTTATGAGAAGATCTTTCACATAAGCATGTTATTATGATGAAGTAAAAGGTCATACATCAGGATTATGTAGGATCCTGATATCATGTATGTATGTATTATTAAGTTGGTTTCTATCCAAGGATACAAGGGAAACTGAAGATGTACAAATCAGGAAATGGAATCACAGTACAGAGTCAGGGACAGAAGTCACATGGCTTAAAAAAGAAAGAAAGAGAGAGAGAGAGAGAGAGAGAGAGAGAGAGAGAGAGAGAAAGAAAGAAAGAAAGGAAAGAAAGAAAGGAATCAAAGACGAATGATAGCGCCAAGTCAGATTTTTAAAATAGGGATTCTTGAAAACAAGCTTACCTCTAGATTCAGAACAGAGTATTTACCATCTGGTTTAAAAAGAAAAAGTGGAAAGTTTTAAAAGCATAAGAAATTTGACACACTAGAAGAACATACTCATGAACTTGGAGACTTACCTTGTCCCCAACCATAGAAAGAACAGGATCCCCACAAGGCCGTGGCGAGCTTGACCTTGACTGGGCCATCTCTCTGCCCTGCTCATTCCAGAGTCTCTGTGGTGGCTTCCCTGGTCCCAGAACTGCAGCCAAACCCCTCAGGGAGTTCAAGGCCCTGAGCCTCCCACACTATGATCTTCCCTACCTCCCTAGTCATGCTTCTCCTGCTGGCCAAGACAGCCGACCCGACTCCATCCTGCCCCCCATGGTTACAGGAGCACACAAATTAAGTCCTAAAAGAGCAAGCTGCCTCAGAGATATAGGAGGAAAACAGATGTGGCAGGACCTCATCGTTGTGTGGTAACTGAGGTACCCTAGGAAGAGGGACGGCCTCCACTCCACTTTGCTGACAGTTTCTCTAGTGGCAAGCCGGAAACCTAGGCTGCTTCTAACGTCCCACCATTGATCTGCAGAGTATAAATATGTTACTGAACAGCAAACTCGGAAACACAGGAAACAACAAAAATCCAACCCTCTACAGGGTTCAAAAAAATCAACTAAGAAGCTTAATGCCTATATCATTTTAAATCTACTTTCCAACTCAATAAAATCCCTAGTAGCTGAACCATCACCACTAATCTGAACAGTTCAGTTCTGTTGTTTTTAAGATGGGGTCTCACATAGCCCAGGCTGACTCTGAACACTCTACTGAGCCAAGGATGACCTTGAATTCCTGTCCTGCCTCCACCTCTCAAATGCTGGGATTCCAGGTGTGTGCCACCACACGCAGCTCTAAGCCAGGGCTTTGCAAATCCTAGGCAGGCACTCCACCAGCTGAGCTGCGGCCCAGCTCCATCAGCAATGGTTTTGAACCAGTTGCGTTCAGCCAGATGTCATGGGACAGCCTAGACCACTTGCATGCATCTGGCACATGGTGACAGCCAGCTCTGTGTCTGAGTGCAGCTTTGTTTCCCAGCAACTTTCTCTACCTGGCAGGTGCCACCATTCTCCTTTGCTGGTCTTTGTGTCCCTGTGTTACCTGCCCTGACACTCTGGACACCCCCCCCCACAACCTGAACATGAGGGGATGAGCCCATGGATGCCCCATGGGAGTGTTGAATTTGCTTATTATTACATTTATTTATGTGTGTGTGTGTGTGTGTGTGTGTGTGTGTGTGTGTACACACTCTTGAATCCTCAAGCAAGTGCCTTTAACCACTGAGCTATCTTGCTGACTCCTAAATACATTTTTGATGAGCAAATAGCTAAAGAACTATAAGAACAGGGTTTTGTTTTGTTTTTTTGGTTTAGTGCTGGGGAGGGACCCCAGGGTCTGTTGTGAACCCACAGCAACGTCTATAGTTGGGGACATTTCTCAGTTGGTCTTGATTTGGTGTCCTACAGTGCTGCCTCAGATCTTACTACCTTTCCCAATTAAAGCTGTGGGATTAGAGCTAGAAGGTGAGATGCCAATGGTTCCAGATGCTGGGGAGAGGAAGGGCATTTACTTTCTGCCTTACTGCATGCTCAGATGAACATGTTAAAGAGCTTGCAGGGCAATGCCTGTACTTCCCCGGAGAGAATAACGATCTGTTTGTCCTTAGGCATCAACTGTTCATCTCAAGTTCACTGGGGTACCAAGGTCTTCATCTCAGGTTCACTGGGGTACCAAGGTCTTCATCTCAGGTTCACTGGGGTGCCAAGGTCTTCATCTCAGGTTCACTGGGGTGCCAAGGTCTTCATCTCAGGTTCACTGGGGTACCAAGGTCTTCATCTCAGGTTCACTGGGGTGCCAATGTCTTACATATGGAGTCACCTGGCTCTGCAGATGGGTTTGCTTCCCTGTGTCTATCTCAGGAAAGCCCCAGCTGTGGTTGTTCCGTCAGGGCCACAGCGACTCGATGCAGCCAGCCTGAACTTGACCCTGCCCTCCTGCCTCACCTCCACAGTTGGCCGCTCTCTTCTAACTTAATGCTTCTCAGGTAGACCTCATTTCTCTTCTTTATATGGAGGGGCGGTGCCAGCAGCTCAACAAAGAGTTTCCTAGCTTGTGTCATGTTGTGCTGTGGTCCACCCCAGTCTTCACAAGAGAAAATTCACACATGAACACATCCTTGCTGTCAAAATTCCAAATACATCAAAACTCCCTGATGACTCTGACTCCTGAGGCTGTCCCTCAACAGTGTGATGGTTAATACTGTCAACCAGACAGTGTCCAAAATCACCCAGGAGACAAACCTCTAGGTATGCGAGAGGGTTTCTACACTGGGCGGAGGCGGGAAGATCCATCCTAAATGTGGGGGGCACCACTGCATGGACTGGGGTCCTAGACTGACTGAAAGGAGGAAGCACGCTGAGTACCAGCACCCATCTCTCTCTTCCTGACTTAGCTGCACACCCCTGCTGCCTCGGCTTCCCCACCGTGATGGAGTGTACCCTCAAACCATGAGTCCGACAAACTCTTCCTCCGTAAGTTGTTTTGGAACCATAGCAGGGGTGGCCACAGAGCCAAAGAGAGCAGCAGGGCTGCGACACCTCGAGAAGGGACGGTGCCCCTGAGAGACGTTCGGGCAACAGTGAAGCAGGGCACTGTGTTGTCCGCACTGGACAGTTACCACGGAGTGGACAGAAAGCAGGGGCCAATGCGACACTCCACCCTACAGTAACGTAGAAGACATGCAGACTGAGCAGAGGACACGTACACAGCTTGTCCACAAGGCACAAACAACCCAGGAGCCCAGACAAAGCTCTTGTTGGCTACCCACTGCTTGGCAGGCTCTGTCTCCCTGTCCTCTTAGCGATCTCAAAATTGCTTATCATTGCCATAACGGGCTGAACTCTCACTGTGCCAAATAAAATCTATCAAAAAAGTCGATGTGCATTTCCAGAATTATGCCAGCAACATCCATACATTCATGCATCCAACAAGCCCTTCACTGAGGACCCACTGGGGCCAGGTCCTGCAGCTAGCATGGTGACAAGGAGCAGAGGGAAAGGCACATATACACAGTCACAGCCTGAGCTGGGCGTCCTCTGGCCCAGGCGAACAAAGCAGACAAGGGCTCTAAGTTAACATCTAATATGGTCAAGGCAACCTCACATCCGGGCAATCGCTCACTTGTAGTGAGCTGAATTGCAAGTGCTTTTCTAGTTAGTATCACAGAGCCACAGTACAGAGGTGTGATGGCACCAGAATTGGCAACCAAAAAAATGCTCTCGTGTTTAATTCTTTCCTTACCTTTCTGTTGTGCGTGCTGTGGTGTGAGGGAGGAGGAAGAGGAGGAAGAGTGTGAAAGCCCATCTTGCTCAGAAACATCATCTTCTCTCACCATCTTCTGTGACAACAGCCCCTTTTGGTTAAGAGAGTGGAACAAGCACATGGTCCATGTTAGCTATATATCCTCCTACCAGTTTAACTGTCCTATGTTATAACACCCTCACAGCTGCCATGTCAGGGCTGCCCACTGAAAAGGCCTGGACATGCCAGGGCAGGAAGAAACCACAGACCCTTGTGAAAAGCCTGGCAAAAAGTTGACAAAAGATACGTGCTGGGGGATGTCTTTCTGTACGCTGTGAATATCTGTTGCTATGACTGGTTAATAAAGAAGCTGCTCTGGCCTATGGTGAGTCAGGTTATAGTCAGGCAGGAAATCCAAGAGAGAGACAGGAAGAAGAAAGGCAAAGGCAGAGTCTAGAGAGACCCCAGCACAGCCAGGAGAAGCAAGATGTAAAAATACTGGTAAGCCACAGCCACGGGGCAACTTATAGATAAACAGACATGGGTTACAATATAAGATCTAGCTAGCAAGAAGCCTGCTAGAGACCATACAGTTTGTAAATAATATAAGCCTCTGTGTGTTTACTTGGGACCAAGGGGCTGCTAGATGTGGGTGGGAAAGATTCGTCCTGACCAAAGGGCCAGGCAGGACCAAAGAAACTTCCAGCTACATCCAGTGCAAAGATGTGGTAGCAAGAATTTCCACTAAAAACCTGAGAAAGCCTTAAAAAAAGAAAAAAAAAAATCTAAAACAGAGTTAAAAACAGCTTCCTAAATGTGTTTCTCAGGTAAGCCGTGAGCTACACTATGGCAGGTTCGTGGAGCGCAGGCTTGAGCTACAGCATGGCGGATCCCCTCGGAGGTACACAGAGATTTCTCCAAGCCGTGCATGGCTCTGAGTGGTGGAACGCACTGCTTCCTGGAGGCATGGACCCACTGCTTCCCAGAGTTGGCAGTGAGCAGGGCTCCCAGAGCTGACTGTAAATGTGCCACCGCCGTGGTGGGAAGCTGAGGGGGCGCAGTCAGCAGCCAGGGCTGCGGCTTTCGCCCTGGCCACTCAGCTTAGCAGTTTAAAATCTCTCACGGTCAGAGAAGGATTACAGATTCACAATAAGACAGATTCTGACGGAAAAAACTCTAAACTGTTTACAGTGTGTGTAAAAATGTATGTAGAGAAAGAAAAAGGAATATATGCAGTTATATAAAAAATAGTTTTAAAAAATAGTCTTTAAAGAGACAGTAAAAGTAATATAAAAAATAAGTGACATAAAGATGGAAATCACACAGAGAGTCTGGATTATACTGTCTTTGGGATTTTTTTTTTTTTAAAGATTTATTTATTTATTATGTATACAGCATGTATTACTGCAGGCCAGAAGAGGGCCCCAGATCTCATTACAGATGGTTGTGAACCACCATGTGGTTGCTGGGAATTAAACTCAGGAACTCTGGAAGAGCAGCCAGTGATCTTAACCTCTGAGCCATCTCTCCAGCCCTGTCTTTGGGATTTTTTTTTTTTATTATGTATATAGTATTCTGCCTACATGCTGGAAGAGGGAACTGGATCTCATTATAGATGGTTATGAGCCACCATGTGGTTGCTGGGAACTGAACTCAGGACCTCTGGAGGAATAGCCAGTGCTCTTAACCCCTGAGCCATCTCTCCAGCCCCTGTCTTTGGGATTTTTAACTGCAGAAAGACATTTGATTATAAAGGCTGCTGAGTTAAACCAATATGTATATTTTAAAGGTATCTTTACTTCAAAATTTGTGTCTAAGGATACGCTGCTTTGGAAAAGAGGTTCTGCTTTTGTTTCCACAGAAGATGAGAACTTATGCTTCTAGGCTAAGATGGTTTGACCACTGAAGACCCTCTGAAAGGTCTCCGATGACACCATGGCCCAGATGATCCAACATCCAGAACAGCTTCAAGGCAACTGGCTCAGACAATGCAGCCTCACAGACTACTCCAGTCAGGACCTGACCATAATTCTTAATTTTCTCAGGATTCCTATAGGATTGCAGCACCCCTAACCAGCAGGAAGTAGTATACTGTTTATTTTTATTTAAAGGGATGGGACAATGGAAGACAAAGGGGCAGGACAATGGAAGTGATAGAAAGCAGCACAGAGCATCCTCACGTGTCTTGGGCAGTTTAACATCGGTGACGTGGGGGAAGCAGTTTGGGAACACGGATGTCACCTGATTCCTGTGAGGCACAGCATAGGCAGCATCTCTGCCACCTCCCATATCCTTCCAGGTGCTGGACTCTGACTCCCTGCAGCTGGTTGACACCTGCGTTTCAGCATCCCCGTCCTCCCCGTAGCCTAAAGTCTCGAAGGGCGGTAAGGAAGTTCTTCCCGGCTCATTCTGCCAGCTTTGCCTGTGTTAGGCCATTAACAAGTAAGACAAGCAAACAAGAGGTTTAGCACCTGACGCTGATACTAAGCCCACTTATTCTTATTTATTTTGACACAAGATCTCACTACACAGCCCAGGCTAGCCCAAACCCCTAATCTCCTGCCTCAGTTTCCCAAGTGCGGGATTACTGGCACACATCACTCCACCAAGCTGTTACATCTTAAATGCACTGTCTCCAAGTCTGTGCCAAAGAAGCATTTCAACTATAAAATACATGGAGGCTGAATGATGACAGGTCTGTTCTCCCTGCTCTCTCCCTCTAAGTATTTCTTTCTTTTCTTTTTTTTCAAGAATGGTTTCTCTCTGTAATGGCCCTGGCCATCCTCGAACTCACTTTGTAGACCAGGCTGGCTGCGAACTCGGAGATCCACCTGCCTCTGCCTCCTAAGCACTGGGATTAAAGGCGTGCGCCACCACACCTGGCTACTAAGTATTTCTTTTTTCTTTCTTTTTTTTTTTTAAGGTATTTCTTTATACTTGTTTTCATACTCATACTCTATACATATACAACTCATCTTGCTATTAGTATTTTTAAAAAGATTTTATTTGTATGTGTGTACACACATGCATGTATATCAGTGTGAGTGCAGGTGCCAGCAGAGGCCAGAAGAGGGTGCTGGCTTCCCCTGAAGCTGTAGTTAAAGGAGGTTGTAAATAGCCTAACATGAGTGCTGGGAACTGAACCTGGGTCTGAGCCATCTCTCCACATCTGCTATTAGTAAAGCTTTATTTATTTATTTGTTTAAATATTTAATTTTACTATTTTTACTTTAGCTGCATGTTTATGTATGAGTGTCTGTGTATAGGTGTATGCTTATGAGTGCAGGTGCCCATGGAGGCTAGAGTCATCAGATCCCCCTGGTTCTGAAATGCCTAATGTGGGTGCTGGGAACCAAACTCAAGAGCACATGCTACATGCCGTATTCTTAACTGCTAAGCCACCTCCTCCTGCCCTTGCTTGCTTTGTTTGTTTGTTTGTTTGTTTGTTTGTTTGTTTGTTTGAGACAGGGTCTCACAAGTAGCCTTAGCTGGCTTGGAAGGTGCTATGTAGAACAGTCTGGCCTGCCTCTGCCTCTTGTGTGTTGGTATTAAAGGCATGTGCCATCACATCCACTAACTAGTAAGATCTAATAGTCGACATTTTGAATGGTAAATTAGGTATAGCTTAGTGGTCATGTGCATGTTTAGCATGCATGAGTCATTGTACACACACACACACAAAATAATGGAGGTATGTCAGTGTGCTGGGAATTCCTCTTCCTTAGGTGGTTTTATTTCCCTCTGATTTTCATTGTTGTA